AGGAAAACAAATAGAAAACTTTTGACAGACACATTATTATTATTATTATTATTATTATTTTGAGATGGAGTCTTGCTTTTGTCGCTCAGCCTGGAGTGCAATGGCATGGTCTTGGCTCACTGCAACCTCTGCCTCCCAAGTTCAAGCAATTCTCATGCCTCAGCCTCCCAAGTAGCTGGGATTACAGGTGCCTGCCACCATGCCCAGGTAATTTTTGTATTTTTAGTAGAGATGGGTTTCACCATGTCAGTCAGGCTGGTCTTGAACTCCAGGCCTCAAGTGATCTGCCCACCTTGGCTTCCCAAAGTGCTGGGATTACAGGCATGAGCTGCCGCGCCCGGCCCAAACACATTATTATTTGGTCATATATGTATTATATTTTGTAGCTAGTGCATCACGGACCACCTAATGTGACAGATATTTGGCAGGATGCTCTGGCACACTGGTGAACTTCCATTAAATTCTGTATCTCCCCTACATGCATGTGTGATGACATTTGAAAGAGGGCATGAAATATATAAAACTACAGTAAACACCGCTTGCTAAATGATGCATAACTGTTTTCAGTCCCATACATTTCCACTGAGACCCAGCCATATACGGCAGGGAAGAAACCAGCACAATTGTCAAAAGTGCTTGCTCATGGTAGCTAAACTCCTCAGCATGGCACCCACACCAGCTATCAAGGAGTGAGAGTCACTTCTATGCCCCATAAATCAGAAGACTTTCGTGGTTTCTAATTTGTGGGGTAGACATGTAGACTCATCATATTTGTATTTTACTCTTTTTTTTTTTTTTTTGAGACGGAGTTTCGCTCTTGTTACCCAGGCTGGAGTGCAATGGCGCGATCTCGGCTCACCGCAACCTCCGCCTCCTGGGTTCAGGCAATTCTCCTGCCTCAGCCTCCTGAGTAGCTGGGATTACAGGCACGTGCCACCATGCCCAGCTGATTTTTTGTATTTTTAGTAGAGACGGGGTTTCACCATGTTGACCAGGATGGTCTCGATCTCTTGACCTCGTGATCCACCCGCCTCGGCCTCCCAAAGTGCTGGGATTACAGGCTTGAGCCACCGCGCCCGGCTATTTTACTGTTTCATAATCTGGTATAGGAAATGGATTCCTAGGTGGCTAAGTTTGCTTTTCAGGGAGAATTTTAAATACAACGCAGTATATGTCATTATCCATGCTCAGGGGGCCATGGCAGATTCAACAGAATTCCACACTCAGAGGTTTGAGTGTTACCTACTCCATCATCCTGATGTTTGCATTGTTGCCGTAAAATTGTGCAAGGTGTCAATGAGCCTTATAGCTCTGTTTTACCACAAATCAGACTGTATGTTCAGACTATGCATACAGATAATGTGGAAAAAAGAAAAAACTCTTGTTTTCTTTGGAGCAGGATACAAAAAGCAGAAAGACTTTGAAATTCTCTTGGAAGCTGTAAAATTAGGCTTGACAATCACTGGGCTCATCCAATTAGAAGGCAGAGCATGGGATTGAATGACGTCACTCATCATTCTGTAACTCTGGGAAATGGAGTCCATCGACTGAACCTCCCAGTAAAAAAATATCCTTCAATAAAAGTCCATGGAATGGATTGAAAAACACCCTTGGCTTTCATATAAGTTGAAAACATAAGCCAGGTGCAATGGCTCACACCAACACTTTGGGAGGCCAAGGCAAAAGGATCACTTGAGGCCAGAAATTTGAGACCAGCCTGGGCAACACAGTGAGATCCTGCATCTACCAAAAAAAAACAGTAAAAAATGAGTGGGCATGATACTGTACCTGCAGTCCCAGTTACTTGGGAGGCTGAGGTGGAAGGATTGCTTGAATCTGGGAGGTCAGGGTTGCAGTGACTTGTAGTCGTGCCACTGCACTCCAGCCTGGGTGACAGAGCAAGACCTTGTCTTAAAATATGTGTATATATATATATATATATACCTTTACCAGTTTTTCATATTTTGTGGCTTGTGCTGTCTGCTTCTCTTCTCTAAGGTTCTAAGGTGCTTTCTCTTCTCTAAGGAGTTGGTCGAAATTTCTTTATCAGGCCAATTCCAAAGACTCTAACCTGCTGTCAGTTGGCAACACTTGGGTCAAGGGTCAAGTGCACACTCCTATGGTATGTCAGTGTGGGGGAGGGGAGAGAATAGAGTGGGATCATGTGGTATGATCAGTTATGCTTAAGCACCCAACCAAGTCTACGCCACTATCAGAAAGCTGTGGTGTAGCAGATATTCCGTGTTACAATATTACACTACAGTGTTTAGTAGTGAGCAACACATTATCAAGTACATGGCTGAAGTTAGACTGCATGAGTTGTGGTGAGCCAAGTCAGCACACTTCCGTAACTACTTCAAAGACATGTGGCCTAAAGTAGAAATGGGAAAAGCCGACTACATGGATTATTCTGGATTGACTAATTGTATGGTACATGAGGAAATGTACAGTAATTTACACTGTACTGTACATTGTACTGATGGGTGACTGAACTTATAGCACTGTACAGGTAGCGCCTGGGAAGAGTTAAGTGTACCCAGCAGAGGGCTGATGGACTTGGTGATGAGGGATATTGAAGAACAATTGAAGATATCAATAAGGTAGAGCAGCTGGCTTAATTAAAAAAAGAGAGACGAGGAAAATGAAATTAAAGAAGTACGATGGATCTAGAGTAGTGGTCTTCAAAATATCATTCCTGAACGGCGGCATCGGCATCAATTGGAAATGTGTTGGAAATGTGTTAGAAATGTAAGTGATCAGGACCCACCAAATCAGAACTCAGGACGGATCCCAAGTGATATGGGACCCCAGTCCATATTTTAACAAGCCCTGCATGTGATTCTGATGTATGGGAGAGTGTGCGAACTACTGGTCTAGAGAAAGTAAACAAAGCTTAAGATCTCAGAGGTGACAGTATCATCTAAGAAGGAGGTACAGGGGCCCTCTGTACTGTTAAGTGGCTGATGTGATGTGGCAATGAGAGTAGTGGCATAGATAGGGGAATGCACAAGTCCAGGTTTCAGGCAGGTCATCTATAACTGAGAGAGAGAAAAGCAAGGATTGGAATAAAAGAAAAAAGGGGATCCTTTTTGCTCATATCATCAAAGAAGCGGAAAGTGAGTCTTAGAAGGTGAGGAGGACATGGAGTGAGCAAAATAATGAGCTATCAAATGAGTGGTGAGCAAAGATCAGTTAGTTAAATGGGCCAAACTAAGTCACCATTCCACCAGCCACAATAAACAGGAACCAAGGGTGTCTGCCTAAGGGTCAGAGTGGAAGGGTTGCTGCCTCAGAGTAGAAAGGGCCAAGTTAAAGAGGTGAGGATAAAAAGGGGAATTTTGGCCGGGCACAGTGGCTCATGCCTGTAATCCCAGCACTTTGGGAGGCCGAGATGGGTGAATCACTTGAGCTTCGGGGTTCAAGACCAGCCTGGCTAACATAGTGAAACCTGTCTCTACTAAAAATACAAAATTATTGCGGGGTGTGGTGGCAGGCTCCTGTAATCTCAGCTACTCAGGAGGCTGAGGCAGGAGAATCGCTTGAATGTGGGAGGCAGAGGTTGCAGTGAGCCAAGATCATGCCACTGCACTCCAGCCTGGGTGACAGAGTAAGACTTTGTCTCAAACAAAGAAAAAGTAAAGTAAAATAAAATATAAAATAAAATAAATAAAATTTAAAGGGGAGTTTTTACCCATTCACAATAGGGATTCTTAAGTCTCCATTAAAGAAAGCTGGGCTTGGAGATAAGTAGAACGTAGTTCAGTGGTGGAAGTTGTCCACAAGCCAACATGAATAACACAACTCAAGAAAAGAGAATGGTAGACTGGGAGGTTGGATCAGTGAAACAGCAAAGAGACAAACAATAAGTGAAGGCAGTTAGTCTGGAGGATCGAGAAAAATGCACATGTGCAAATAAGGTACAATTTAACTTTCAAACACAATGTTGTATTGACACAAATTCTTTCACCACCAGCAAGAATAAAGTGCTGGCATGGGGAGGTGGTTGCTGGTTTTCTAGAGATTACAATCACAACTTTTGGGGTCCATTTAAAGCAGGGGTCCCCAACTCCCGGGCTGTGGACTGGTACTAGTCCATGGCCTGTTAGGAACTGGGCCACAGAGCAGGAGGTGGGCTACAGAGCAGGAGGTGAGCCACAGGGCAGGTGGGTGAGCGAGCATTATCACCTGAGCTCCGCCTCCTGTCAGATCAGCGCCAGCATTACAGTCTCATAGGAGCAGGAACCCTATTGTGAACTGCGCATGCAGGGATCTAGGTTGCAGATTACTTATGAGAATCTAATGTCTGATGATCTGAAATGGAATAGTTTCTCCCGAAACCATCAGCACCCCCACCGCTCCCCAGCCATCTGTGGAAAAACTGTCTTCCACAAAACTGGTCCTTCCAGTCCCTAGTGCCAAAAGGCTGGGGACTGCTTATGTAGAGGACAATGAAGATTTCTGATGGTAGAGGTAGGAACTAAGATGAACCCACATGTAAAAAGAGCAGTATTGTTTAAGCAAAGAGTCATGGTCAAAAGTGGTTCCCATTCTAATAAAGGAAAGTTTGACAACCCCAAAAATGCCTATGTAGCATTTTTGTTTATTTTATTTTTTATTTTTATTTTTAAAGACAGTTTCCCTCTGTCATCCAGGCTAGAGTGCAGTGGCCCCATCTCAGCTCACTGCAACCTCTGCCTCCCAGGTTCAAGCCATTCTCTGTCTCAGCCTCCTGAGTAGCTGGGACTACAGGTGTGTGCCACCACACCTGGCTAATTTTTGTATTTTTAGTAGAGATGAGGTTTCACCATGTTGGCCAGGCTGGTCTCGAACTCCTGACCTCAAGTTACCAATCTGCCTTGGCTTCCCAAAGTGCTGGGATTACAGGTGTGAGCCACCACGTCTGGTCACTATGTAGCATTCTTAAATAAGGCCCTGTATTTTAATGATATTTATTTGTTTAATATGAAGAAAGAAAAAATAGAAAAGGTTTTACAATTTAGTCAGGAATTGTTACACAAGATACAGACTTTATTTCCATGTATTTCTGAAGTTGAATGCTTAAAAAAATTTCTAATCAAATTTATCCCCCTATATAATATTTACCATTAAACCAACCAAACTTATACAATAATTACTCTTGAAAAATAATAATTAGACTGTAATATCTAATCAATTGCAAAATATAACAGATTGCAACCAATTTGTTAACAAGGAAAAAAACTCTCCTAAAAAGCTTGAAGCTTCATAATAATTTACAGAACTCTGTTTAACTTAATATACAAGAAAATCTGCTGTGGATAAGGCATTGCTTTATGAACCCTCCACCCTTCCTCAGAGAATAAGGCACAACAATCACTAGCATTATAAATCACAAAACTGTAAGAAAATCTGAAGACAACAGATAGCACATATGCCAAAAGAAAAGCAGGTACCTTTAGGTCACTGACTTGAATATCAAAGTAACATGAAACTGCAAATACAAGATGTATAGCAACTAAATTTTCCTTCTCTACTAAAGAGGAATCATTTTAATAGAAGATCAACCTGAAAGAACAAAGGAAAAAGCAAATTTCCTCAAACTTTATTTTGAAAAAAATATATCCTGTCTTTCAGTATCAGGATGAATAAAAAAAAATTTAACTAGTAAAGTGTTTTAGAATAGCATATAAACAACTGATAGCAATGAAAACAATTTTGATGGTACATTCAGGAATTTACATTTGAAATGACATTCCTGGTCATTATTTTTTTGCATGAATTAAAATGTTATGGTTATGATCCAAGTATCGATATTTTATTAAAGTTATTTATTAACAAATATTAAATTTAGTTTTGTTTTTCAAAACAGTTAAAACACTAACACATGAGATTCTAGGCTAGAGATACTAAAAAAATACTACTTCAGTAAAGTGTTACTATAGCCAACATGTTTTAATAATTATTTCCTAAATTAATTTCTGAAATAAGCTAGATCTAATGTTAGTTACTGGATATTATAATGATGTGTCACAAGTGCTCTGAAGAAGATTCTGCCAGTAATCATAACTCATAAAGCATTCTGCAAATTAAACTTCAGTCAGGATCAACATTTATGAAAATAAATACATGTTAGCATTAACTATACATTTGTATAGTTAAATGATTCATATCATTTATTTGGCAATTTCACTATTTCAATATCTCAAGAAAATGTGGATCCAAATAACATGTTAACACTTTAAAAATTAGTTGTCCTAAAATATGAGCTGTTTTTCATTAAGAAATGGACAAATTTCAGGTATATTTCCAGAAAATAAACAGGATGTTAATCTAACAGAACTACTAGTAATGCCAGATAAACAGAAGAAAAAAAACAATTAAAATACATCATGGAATAAATGAAACTCTAATATTGCACTAGAGTTTCATAGAAGAGAGAAATAGAATAATAAAAAGTATAATTTTTTTAAAGTTGTACATGCTTCCTGAGCAAGAGCAGAATTATAATAATTAAATAATATAAACACCTGTGTTTTTAAAAATTAACTTTAATGGTGGCTACTCTTAATTATCATCATCTGAGCCATTTGCTTCTCTAAGACTGCCGTGTGGTTACCTCAGACATCAATACGAATTCCATGTTTTGAAGACATCATTTGTCTGGTTCCCGTTAAATACATAATGAATGAACAGATGTGAGGTAAAGATGATGTGATTATTACATAAAGCCAGAATGGCAAAGGAGAAGTTTTTCCAAATGGGCATATCCACAAACCATGACGAATCCCATCTCGGATATGGTGTGAAGTCCAGGATATAAATAACATCCAGGGAAGAAAGCACCATGAGTCTTTGAGCCTGAAAAGGTGCATAGTAAATTTCAGGGTCAGAACCACGACAGGTATTACAGAAGAACAGTGAAGGAAAGGTCTTCGTGGAAGAGTCAAAGCAGCCTGAGGGAGCAAAGTAAGAGCAAGTATCATTTCCTTTTCAGCAAAACAAAATTTTAAACATGCTTCTTAATATTTTAAAATATTTTCCAGAGTCTATTGGACATGCAAAAGAAACATGTTCTGTGCCACTTCAGAATACATATACCAAAATTACATATAAAAAAAAGAATATAAAAGTGTGAGCAGGATATCCTTTTCATTAAAAATAAAATCAACGTCTCAGGAATATTGTGATTAATTTTTTAAGCTTCCCATTATTTGCTTAGAAAATTCAGAGTATGAACATAATTTATATCCTAAGCATATAGTTTGTGTAATTTGGAGTCTTTATACAATTATCCAGGGCCTCTAAGAGTTCCGAAACAATATCTCACAACCAAATAAAATATTCTTTAGTTAATGAAGGCAAAAAAGGGAAATATTTTTGTTATACCCATTTTATATTAGTTGTAAACACTTTCAAAATTTATTTACAACATTTAGAAAAATTATATTATTTTGAATATGTATTCTAAAATTGAGTTGAATAAGCTTCAGTAAAATTTCTAAACCACTACTAAAAAATATACTCAATATCTGAACCAATAAAAATTTCAGGCTTAACCCTTGAATGATTAATGAGTAGGGTTTTGTTCCCCCTTACTTTAAAGACTAATTTATAGCTAGATAATCCCTAAACAAAAATAAAGCTGAGGATAATGATGAATGTCTAAATCTGAATCTCCATACTTATCCTCTAAAAATATTATAAAACATGAAGGAAAAATAAAATGATATAAAGTCTCAAACCCTCTGCATAAATAGAAGTCAGAGAATGCCCAAATTTGAAATTACTCATAAGTATTAAAATGAACAACAAAACAGAGGGTTCTGTCTCTCACACTTCCATCCAAGTCAGGAAAAACTGTATTGAAGAGAGAAGGGGGAAACCTAAGATCGATCTAAAATTAACACTAGGAAGTTCAGTTTAAGTGTGAAAATACTGAAGAGTGTCGTAGTAGGTCAGAGCACTGATTACAAGAAAAGGACTTAAAAGTGGGCCTTCAAGGCTCTGAAAAGTATTGATTCTGGGGGAGAAGATGGTAAGAAAGGGAGAGGCACCCTTTGGAGACTGGATGGTGAAAAGGAAAAGAAGTAGTAAAAGAAAGAAATTTAGTTTCCTGTCCAAACAAACAAAAATCAGACAATGTTCCCATCACATGAAAAAAGTTACTTATTAAAGAGACTGTACCTTGTCCCATTGTCAAATCAGACCACCCTTAAACAAGGAAACCTATAAACTCTCCCTTCAAGCTAGTATTCTTTACCTCCACCTACAAACTGAACATCAAAGACTATTTGATGCTCCTCTTTCCCTGCCTTCTCCTCCACATTTTGTTTTACTTCTACTTCATCAGAACATGGACCATTTCTATATTATTATTCTACTTTTGTCTTCACCTTTGTTTTTAAATTCTATATCCGCAATATGTTAAGTTCATCATTGGTCCTTCTGTTAACACTGCCTTAACCAAGAATATGTTAGAATAAAGAATCACGTAATGTTATGAAATAAAGTGATAAAATAGAACAAATCTATAAAAAGCTAGTATGGGAGAAAAATCGAAAATAGAATAAAAATACCTTACTCTTGAACCCTGTTCCTAGAAACAAATACAAAAAAACAACAACAACAACAACAAAAAAACCCAAAATGATCTTTAAAAACTACAAAAAGCATAAGAAAATTATATCACAAGACTCCAAACTAAATTAAATCTCAAACAACCATATGGGGATATAAAAAAAATCGTGAATCAAAAATTCAAAAATGGAAAAAAAATAAATTTAAAAAACAAAGCTAATAATTGATTAAATTCAGTATGGAAAAAAAATTTAATAAATGACTATATTGCAGTGTGTCCAAGGGAGAATAGGTAAAATGAAAGTTTAATAAGGCACATTGAAAAAAATGAATATGAAAATTAGCTGGGTATGGTGGCCCATGCCTATGATCCCAGCTACTCAGGAGGCTGAGGCATGAGAATTCCTTGAACCTAGGAGGCAGAGGTTGTAGTGAGCTGAGAGCGCACCACTGCACTCCAGACTGGGCAACAGAGCAAGACTCTGTCTCGAAAAAAAGAAAAGAAAACAAAGAAAAGAAAAAATGCAGGAAATCAACCAAGAGAATAAAAATAACATGAGGAAAAAAGTAAAAAGAGTCAGGTAGAAAATGGCTGAAATAGAACACAGGCACAGGCTGAAATAGAACACAGGCACAAAGAAACAACATATGTATAATAGAAGGCCCTAAAGAAGAAAAACAAAAGAATGGAATGGAACTAATATTTAAAGCTACAATCCAAGAAAACTGAAAATAAAAACCCAAATCTATGAAAAGAGCTCATCTTAAAAAACTGACTCTAAGGGATATGCAGAAGATGGCAGTGAGAAGGCAACACGGGAATGCAGCTCCCAGCGAATGAGAGGCAGAGGGCTAGAGGACTTCACAATCCCAAACGAGGTGCTGGTTTCATTTCAGTGGGACTGATAGGGCCCTGAAAATAGCCCAGGGAAGAAGCTGCAGGGCGAGAGCTGCCCAGGGGCCAAATCAAAACGGGGGGCACGTCCCCACCTGAAACGTGCAGCTCGCTCGGAGGGTCAGGGGACTTCTCCGTCTCGGTGCTCCAATTCAGAATCTGTGCCTGCCTTATCCCTCCTACAACCCACAGTTCATGAGAACCCTGCCAGACTGTGGGGTGCCATGGGTTGTTGATGCAAATCTGAAAAGCAGCTGCCGCTGAGAGTGGCAAGTAGTCACATGGACCTGGGCGGAAGTTTGAACTAAGGCCAGTGGGACAGACCATCCACAGAGGGAGGCAAAGTTGAAAGCAGGGAAACAGACCATAAGGCCTGGCAGGCCCCACCTCCACAGAACTCAAACTGAAGCCCTCGATAGAAAGCTTGGCAACAAATACACCAGTTTGACCCCAACCAGGATGATCTAGCTCTGGGAGAGATGCCATTGGGAAGGCGGGGCTGATGTCACCTGCAAACAAACTCCAGGGAAGGACCACCCACCCAACAACCTGACTGAGCCTGAGAGAGCCCAGCAATGCCCTCTACAGGCCAAAAAAGATATAGCGCCAACCTCAACAGAAAAAACATCCACTCAGAGACTCCACCTGAAGTCACCAACTTCAAAGATCAAAGGGAGATATATCCACAAAGATGGGAAAAAAACAGTGCAAAAAGGATGAAACCATCAAAGAACAGAACATCTCTTCTCCTCCCATCAAGGGAATGAAAAAAGACAGAGAATGAATTTGATGAATTGACAGAAGTAGGCTTCAGAAAGTGGGTAATAACAAACTTCTCTGAGTTAAAAGACCATGTTCTAACCCAGTGCAAAGAAACTAAGAACCTTGAAAAAAGGATGGATGAAATGCTAAATAGAATAACCAGCTTAGAGAAGAACATAAATGACTTGATGGAGCTGAAAAACACAGCACGAGAACTTTGTGAGGCATGCACAGTTTCAACAGCTGAATCAATCAAGCAGAAGAAAGGATATCAGAGATAGAAGATCAAACCAATGAAATAAAATGAGAAGGCAAGATTAGAGAAAAAGGAGTGAAAAAAAATGAACAAAGCCTCCAAGAACTATGGGATTATGTGAAAAGACCTAATCTACACTTGATCAGTGTGCCTGAATGTGATGGGGAGAATGAATCCAAGTTGGAAAACACTCTCCAAGATATCATCCAAGAGAACTTTCCCAATCTAACAAGGCAGGCCAACATTCAAATCCAGGAAATGCAGAGAACATCACAAAGATATTCCTCAAAAAGAGCAACCCCAAAGCACATAATTGTCAGATTCACCAGGGTTGAAATGAAGCAAAAAATCCTAAGCGCAGCCATAGAGAAAGGTCGAGTCACCCACAAAGGAAAGACCATCAGACTCACAGCAGATCTCTCAGCAGAAACCCTGCAAGCTAGAAGGGAGTGGGGGCCAATATACAACATCCTTAAAGAAAAGAACTTTCAACCCAGAATTTCATATCTAGCCAAACTAAGCTTCATAAGTGAAGGAGAAATAAAATCCTTTAAGGACAAGCAATTGCTGAGAGATTTCGTCGCTACAAGACCTGCCTTACAGGAACTACTGAAGGAAGTACTAAACAGGGAAAGGAACAACCAGTACCAGCCATTGCAAAAACATACCAATGGTAAAGGACAATGATGCAATGAAGAAGCCATGTCAACTAATGGGCAAAACAACCAGACAGCAACAAAATGGCAGGATCAAATTCAAACACAACAATATTAACATTGAATGTAAATAGCCCAAATGCCACAATCAGAAGACAGAGACTGGCAAACTGAATAAAAAGTCAAAACCCATCAGTGTGCTGTATTCAGGAAACCCATCTCACATGCAAAGACACACATAGACTCAAAATAAGGTATGGAACAAGATCTACCAAACAAATGGAAAGCAAAGTAAAGCAAGGGTAGCAATCCTAGTCTTTGATAAAACAGACTTTAAACCAACAAAGATCAAAAGAGACGAAGGGCATTACATAATCGTAAAAGGATCAATGCAACAAGAAGAGATAACTATCCTAGATATATACGCACCCAATGCAGGAGCATCCAGATACATAAAGCAAGTTTTTAATGACCTACAAAGAGACTTAGACTCCCGCACAATAATAGTGGGAGTCTTTTAACACTCCACTGACAATATAGGACAGATCAATGAGACAGAAAGTCAAGAATGATATCCAGGACTTGAACACAGCTTTTGACCAAGCGAACCTAATAGATGTTTACAGGACACTCCACCCCAAATCCACAGAATATACATTCTTCTTAGCACCACATTGCACTTACTCTAAAATTGACCATATAATTGAAAGTAAATCACTCCTCAGCAAATGCAAAAGAATGGAAATCATAACAAACAGTCTCTCAGACCACAGTGCAATCAAATTAGAACTCAGGATTTAAAAAAGC